CTAATATATGGAAGAGAAATGAAGACATTATTAAATTTAGAAGATGAAAATGTTACGATAACACATAGAATTAATAGTTTAATGGAAGATCTACCGAACATTAGAAGTCAAGCTAAAGAAAATATAGAGAAATCTCAAGAAAAACAGAAGAAATATCATGATAAGAAATATAAGATGAAAAAGAATTTTCAAATAGGGGATAAAGTTCTATATTATGATGCAGCAAAAGAAAAACAATGGTCTGGAAAACTAGAAGAAAAATGGAAAGGACCGTATTATATACATGAAATAATTTCTAAAGGATCTTATAAAATTAAAACTATGGAGGGAAGGATACAGAAAACGCCAGTAAATGGAGAATTATTGAAGGAATATATTGACAGGTCAAATTTCGAAGTTATAATTAGAATTTGATGGGACTCAAATTTTTCTTGGGGGGGATAGCTGTAACCCGAGAAATCAGGATGATCACGTGAGCGGATGAATAAAAGACTGAATGGAACAAGGATAAATAATTAACCGATAAAATAATATTTATAGTTTAGTTTAGTTTAGTCACAAGATAGTCATATGATAATATATCTTTATTTTCTTATTGTTCTTAAATTTTTATTAGTAGAAAAGTTAGAAGTGGTAGAAATAGTTTTCTTAAAAATGTATAAATATAGGTGGGATTCGTTAGGAATTTCGCAGTCAGTTTTGACTCAAATTTAATAAATTAAATATTAATTATTAAAAGTTATCTTGAATATGCTCATTGTACGCTTGAGAATTAATTAATATTATTATTAAGTCCAGAAAAGTAAAAGTAAAAGGAGTTATTCTCGTTTTATTGTATGAAATATAAGAAGTTAGGAGAACTCTCGCAGTTTATAAGAAATAAGATGGTAATATTTGAAAGAATAAATATTACAGGCAACATAATATTGTGAGAATATTATGAATGAGTGGTAGTATTGAGAATAAATACTACGGATATATGAGAAAGAAAGCGAGAAGTTAAAAGAAAAATAAAATCTAAACTAAGCAAAGTAACGAGAAATAAGTTAAATGAGAAAGATGTGTTTATCCACGGGTGGCAGACGTGGGTGACAACGGTAGGTATTATTTGGGTGGGTGTAGTTGTGTAATGGCGTTATTAAATAACATTAATGCCTTTTTTTTTATTTATTTAGGTTTCCAGCCTTCTCTCGAAGTGGAATATGATGGTGGTATTATTTGGGTTGAAAATTTTTTTTTCATTTTTATTTAATGAACGTCTTTTTTACTTTTTGTAGGTTCAGGACACCGACGGACACTACTTCGAAGGTATTTACCTTCAAAAAATTTCTTTTATTTAATTCAATATCAATATGGAATAATACCAAAGGGAACAAGAAAGAGGATAGATAAGAGTCGACAACGGACGATTTAGAGACATCGGAAATTAAAGATATAAAGAAAAGAATGGCTTTAGTGCAGGGTGAGAGAGAAAAAGAGTTGGGTTAGGTGTCAATATAGGAAACGTAAGTGGAATAGATTTAGCGTTATATTAGACTACATAGTTATTATCATATAGTGTTTACTTTAGTGTGTGTTTAGATGTTCACAGATATCACTGGTTTTTTAGTGATCTTGCTTTTCCTTAATCTGTAGCCTATTAGAATTTTTAATTTATTGTTTTTATTTGAATTTTCACATGGGTCGTTAGTTGCTACTTCGTTTTATTATACGAAGATTTTGGTATGGAGAGATTTGGGGTAACATTCACGTTGCAACCAAATTTCAATGTATCTTTTGTATTTTAGCGTAGTAAATGTTCTCTCACATATTACTATAATAAAAAATGCGTTATTGATTAAAAAAAAATAAACAAATAAAAAATAAATCGTATTGAAATACAATTTTAATTCTGGCCGGAATTAACATAATTTCAGCCTAACATAATATTAGAAGAACGTGTAACAATTTTATTTGTTTATCTTTATTTTTAATTTGCCTAACCTTATTTGCGTCTTAATAATACTTTTTACCAAAAAAAAATAACAAAAATTACACTATCGGAATGAGTAACCAAATCCGCCGATATGAGGTATTATTCAATATATAAACCAGTATAAGACCTGGGGTATTTTATGACAGTGCTGGATTATAATTGTCAATATTCTAGAAAGTATTGAAATTTAAATAAATTAGAATTTATTTAAATCATAAGAGAAATAATACAACTATTAATCATAAAAAAATTGATAGGAGAAATGAAATTCTGTAATTAATTTATTAAGTCTTGATTAGATTACCGTAAAGCAAGCAACCTTTCCTTTTTTTGTTATAGGGGTGCTTATATTTGTATATTTTGTATATTGTAGTATTGGCCAAAATTATCATAGTGTTGGTCAAGGTTGCTTACTTTCGGGTAATATAAAAATCTGGGTGCTTATATTCGGGACTTTATGGTATATTTTAAAAAAAATTGTATCATTTAGATGACAAACTTTGGGCTAGTTGGAGCAATAAATTTCATGATAGGATTTTTTTGATTAAAACTATAACTATTATTCCAAATCTGTATAAGCTTTCAATTAAGTCTTTTACTGATCTTAATAGAGAATACTCCAAGTTGACAACTTTCAACTAAATTAGAATTTGACAAATCTTATTGAATAAAGTGAAAGAATTTTCATAGTTTGTTTTCGTTAATCATAGAAAAGAAAGAAAATAAAAATTGTATAGATCTAACATCACTAATTTATTAACTCTTCTATGAATATTCTCACCTATATACTACTTTTGGGTGAATAAATAAAAGAAGCATTCATACTATGTATCCTTATACCGTTATGATCTCATAACTATTAAATCAATAAAAATAAATCATTGTTTGTTTATAATTTTTTTAACGGTACTAGAAGTAGGCACTGTTATTTGCCGCATCTACAACAAATTCTTAAAATTCTAAGTTCAATATAATAGTAAAAAATTCAAAAAATTCAATTAATCTTAAAAATAAAATTCTAGTAGTCAAAACAATTAAAATTATTTTTAAAAAATACCTCTTGATGGCCATCACGTAATCAGCTGTCTTAGAAGTAGTCACTATTATTTGCCGCACCTACAACAAATTCTTGAAATTCTAAGATCAATATAATAATAAAAAACTCAATTAACATTAAAAATAAAATTCTAGTAGTCAAAACAATTAAAATTATTTTTAAAAAATACCTCTTGATGGCCATCACGTAATCAGCTGTCTTAGAAGTAGTCACTGTTATTTGCCGCACCTACAACAAATTCTTAAAATTCTAAGATCAATATAATAATAAAAAATTCAATTAACATTAAAAATAAAATTCTAGTAGTCAAAACAATTAAAAATAATTTTAAGAGATACCTCTTTATGGCCATCACGTAATCAGCTGCCTCAGAAGCAGTCACTGTTATTTGTCGCACCTACAACAAATTCTTAAAATCTAAGATCAATATATAGTAAAAAACACATTAATCTTGAAAAGTTAAAATTCTAGTAGTCAAAATAATAAAAAATCATTTTTTAAAAAATACCTCTTAATGGCCATCACGTAATTTGCCGCACCTATAACAAATTCCTAAAATCTAAGATCAATAAGTAACCAGTGGTCCTATTTGGAATAAATCACACTCTTTCGCCTATATAGTTTAAATAATATTTAGAACTCTTAAGTCAAGGGTGCATGTTTAAGTATAGTCAAGATGCATATTAGTGAAATGGTTCATTTCTTCCACATATAGCACAAACTAATTTACAACTTTTGAGTACTAATTGATCGGTTTTTCTTGCGCGAGAATGCTTTGAATACTTTACTTCCCAAAAACAGATTTACTAATTACCATAATTCCATCATTTTCAGCAATTTCAAAACATTACTTAATTCATAAATTTTGTTGACGCAAATAAAAACAAATGTATCATCGTTAATTTTGCTTATTTTCTCATGCAATATTTGCTCGATAATTATGATATAAATTTAAAATATCATTGCGAAAAATATCTGCTGAAATTATCACCTTCAGTTATGATCGTCTGGGGCGATCCAAATTGTTATTAAATATTCACGAAAAACTGTACCTGTAAAAGGATTAATTCTGTAAATAAATGAGTATTTACAATTTCTTTTCCTTATTTTCCCCTAAAATTTCTTTGTAAATTCTGCTTGTTTTTCAACGGAAGGATTGATCTTATCCATATGATTCTTTAAATGTTTATTAATAGTAGTTAGATAGCTTCTTACATTTGAGCAAGGTTATTTTTTAATAAACAGGAATAATATTAGCAGTAGAATCACGGGATCATATTACGATATTTATCACCCCGTGTCATGCCCTCCACTTTCATTTTTTGATTTTATGCTATTCTAAAAAAAAAATAATATTGCATGAATAAAAAAAATAATCTGTCATTCTGTCATGTACAACCGTCAACCATGTACAAAAAACAAACTATTACAATGGAAAAATTTTATGAAAGAGTTGGGTATATAGCGCGTTTTACAAAAACATTGTGTAGCGATAAAAACCTTACGTTACCATTATGATAATGATGAAGACGCTAATAATAAAATTGTCCATGAGGTTTGTAAATTTTAAAATTTATGTTTAATTCAAATGCCAAGCGTAAATTTTTTTTTTTTGTATTGACTTAGATTCAACTTAAATCAACAAATGAGTTATCATAACAATATGGAGTTACTGAAGAAGGTTCGTCAATGTTAAAATTAATGTTTATTGTATTCTTGTTAATAATTATTTTTGCCTATTATAAAGGAGCAAGAAAAACGTTTTCTCTAGTATTGATAGACTTTTAAGCCTATCCTTTTAAATAAACATCATCCATAAAAATATCAATAAGGAAAATCACGGACGACTATTAGGAAAAGTAAAAATTAACAATGAGATCATAAGTAACGTTTGATATTTCATAAGTTGATAAGACAAAAAAACTTGATGATGGGTATTATAATAAGAAAATAAAGAAAATGACAAATTTAAGAACCATCATTTCTAGTTTTCATTAATTTTGGGAGGTTTGTAAAAGGACTTAGGATTTTTAAAACAGATGCTAAAGGAGTAATAATGGATAAATAACTAAAATCAATCGCTTTACTCAAAAAGTAAATCTAATAGTTTTTTTTTTAAAAAAATAAAATTAACTTGATTAATATTTGATTTAAAAAAAAAGGTGATGCAAAAAAATTACATACTCTAAAAGCTAGGTCGGGTATATCTTTAATAATCATACCAATAAATTCTCCAATAATAATCCTTTGTTCAAATTCTTTAGATAACTTAACGTTAACGTTAAGTTTATATCCACAAAATTGAAAATTAAATATATCTAGAGCTAGTGATATCAACATTACAAGAACTATTTTATGATATTTTCTCTAGGTTCGTCAAGAAGTTGAAGTTCGCTAAGGATAATGTAAACTGCATATCCTAACTTGATAACATATGGAGCTATCACAAAAAAACACTTAAAGAAAATTTTATTATTTTAGTGTTTTTTTAAAAGAATTTTTTAGTTCAGAAGTTGATATTTACCTCGCAAAAAAAATAATTTTGACGCTGCCTGCCTCTATCTTAGCAAAAAGAATGTCCAACACAAATGACAAAACATTTAATCCATAACAATAAATTATAAAGTGGTTACTCTAAAATTAATAAACATTATGTTAGTATTTGATTTTCAATTAAAATATAGAATGTGTACTTTACCTTATCCTCATTTCCCTCATTACCCTCCTTCCCCTTAAATAAATTTACAGATTGGATTAATTTAATTAATTTACATATATCCGATTTCATTATTTGAAAAAAAGCTTTCCTAACACTACCGCTACTATTTGCGCCACTTATTACTTTTTTTGCATCATAATATATAGAAATGATGCAAAGTATGGTCAATATCAAAAAGAATATAACTGTTAAAATAAATTGGAACATATTGTCAGAATTCTCATACCACCTGGCTATTAAAAAAAGAAAGAAAGAAAGGAAAATTAATTAAGTTGGTTAAATTTTCATCTGAAAAAATTAAAAAACGAATAGTTACGAATAGTCACATATCCATAGAGTGGATCCAAGTATTTCGAAGAACTTCCAGATTCAAGAACAGTGATGTCCATATTCTGGATCATAGCATCTAAATCTTTAGTGATTAATTTAGTCTCCCTATCTGATGCAGATTGTGGTTTATCAATCTTAATGGATAAAAGATATTGTTTTGAAGAACTTTCAGTGTCGATCACAAATCTATAATTGGTGGTTATTCGTTTTGATGTGACAGCGACTGCATCGGCCAATTCTTGTGTTAAGTTATCAAAGAATTTATTTTTTTGATTGGGATTGAGAGTGTCAAAGTAAGAAGTTCCGTTTTTGGTCAATCTAACTTTTCCATAAATGCCATCAAAAAACATTTTAATTTTACTTCCTACTTTTTCTTTTTTTTCTTCTGGTACTATTTGAAAAATAAATAATTATATATATAATATAATTCAATTTTATGAGCATGATTATAAATTACTTACACGTTGTAAAAGACCAAATATTACTAGATAAACCAGGGATAGGTTCATTGTATAATAGACTCGAAACAAAATTATTCTCAATCATAACATAATACGTTGAACCAGGATTATTAAATGTACTTTCAATTATATCAATACTAACGGTATCGTTATCAAGCGTTACATAATTTTGGTTATTTAAGCCGTTAATGGTTTGACGTACAATTCCAGGATTAGAACTGCCATTACTTTGAAAAATTGTAATTGTGCCGTTTGATAAACCAATAGGAATTGTATATGTAATTTTAAGGGGATTAGTTTCACGTGCGGTGATAGTTTGATGAATGGTCGGAGATGTATTTCTGATGAACATATTATCATAACCATTATCTAGAGTATTTGTAAGAGTTAAAAAAAATATAATAAAATAAAAATATTTTTGCTATCACCTTACCTTCATGAATTTTATACAAATCAGTGGCGATTAAACTCCAATTTTGTCCTACTATTGGTTGAAGCATTACAAGAGTGTTATTTGTTAAAAGTTGGGGGGAAGCATTAGAATCTGACAGGGTAGGATATGAAAGGTTCCATCGATTAAAATTTCCATTTTCATCCAAAACATAGCCCCAAATATCACTACTCATATTGGTTGTTTGAACAACACTATAGAAATAACCTCCAAATGGTAATGGCGTAATTATAAATTGAGGATCGGTAAGTTCATTAATACCTATACTTGTGGGCGGTGTGGCATCTACATGTTTGACATCAAATACAGATCCTCCTGAAAAATAATTAACTTGAATAAAAAAAGGGATTGGATTTGGATCGGTGGAATTAGGTTCTATGATTATCAAACAAATTTGCCCAACTTCCGAGTTAGAGATAATAACACAATTAAGGCCAATAATATTTAATTCCATTATAAAAGTATAAAGAATAACTTGTTTTCGCATTTTATTACTTCCATATCCACAATACATGGCGTAAAGCCCATTCTGTGAAGAATAAGGATCCTGGGAGGTTGTAAAATTAGGATAAATAAACATGTAACCTCCATCCACTGTTGAAACTATAGCAGGACGCATTTGAAGAGTTAAAACCATTGCTGCAATATTGCTAAAAATTCCGTCTTCATTTCTTCATAAAAAAAGGAAAGGAATATAAGTTAAACTATACATTAAATTAAAAATAAAAATTAAAATGTTTATCAATATGATAATTTACATTATCCATTGCGACACGTTATAATTACTATTGACATCATTAAGACCACTCGATAATATTGCAAAGTAGAGAAATCCTTGCTCATTATTAACATTTGGATAAATAAAAGATTGTTGAGGCACCCATGTATTATTATTACTTGAGTCAATAAGAGAAGGCCCCATTAAAGTTTTACTATTGCTATAAAAGAAAGTACACATATTACAAAAAAAAGTACATATATTCTCCGAAAAGGTTTTAATAAAAAGATCAACTCATTCTAACCTGTAAATTTTTCCATTTAAATCGATCAACATTAAATAATCATTATACGTGAGTGGATTATTTACGTCCGCAGCTACAGTATACCTTTTTTTGTTTCTATGGCTTTAAGAGTAATAGGGTTAAATCCATCAACGGTACAAAAATTGAAAGATTGTATCTCCAATTCTTCCATTGAAAGATCGATTGGTATAATAGTACCATTGGGATAAATAACGCGAAATGATATTTTTGTTTCAAAACAATTTCCACCACTTAAATTGCGAACTATTTGCAAAACTATCGTATTATCTCCATATTTCAAAATGTCTGCCACTTGAAATTCTGTAGTTTCTTTTTCTGTGAAAGTTATAACATTTGATTTTATTGGTAATGTTACAAGTGTAATTATTGATAAAAAAATTAAGAAATGTTTTAATTTCATTTCGTAGAAATTATAATTTTTTTTTAAAAAAAATGAGGAAATTTCAATTTAAATTTAATTAAGGTTGATGAATGGAATGCATATTGTATACATTTTTTTTCTTATTTTCTGATCTATTCAAATCAAATAATATAATAGGAATGTTTACTATATATTAATTATTAATAATTCATTTTTTTTTTCTTAAAAAAGCGGCGGAGTCATAAATCCGTTAAATGCTAATCGGGTGGCATACTTTTTTTTTTAGGAAGGTTTGTGTAGATCTTTTGATTAGTCTAACTTGATTTAAATTAAATGAATGCATCTGAGATTGATTCATTTAGTTTACTTTCATTTAGCTTTCATTTTTTTTCTTTTTAAAAAAAGTTAACGCATGTTACAACAATGATCATGATAATATTTATTAAAAAAAATTGTAATACCGTAAACTGGGATTCATTTGATTCATTTAAATGAACTTGCATTTTAGCGTGTAAATAATTCAATTCTCTAATACTATCTAGCCCCCTATTAACGTTTATAACTAGAAAGTTGACTAAATTTACGGAGTATTATTTTAACAATATGGTAAAATATATTATAATAGCAGTTCAATGGCCTTAAATTTTATAATTCGTCAGTTTATAATACATTACAGTCAAACCTTTATATAACGATATGTCGGGACTCATAAGAAAAAATTTAAAAAAATCGTTATATCAAATTATACCGATATTTATATGTCCTCACATATAGTGGGAATGTAAAATTTTATCGGTATATCAAGTTTTTAATAATGTATCGGTATATCGAATATCGGTATATCGAGTTCTGACTGTAGTGCTTTTGAGATAATATTATACTTAAAAACTCTCATTTATTTATTACGCTAATAATATATTTCTAATTCTCTTTAATTGCATAAAAATTCATAATAGACAAACATTATTATGAGCTATTTTAATTGTTGGCTCTCTTTTTTTTTAGAGAATAGAGTTAATAGGAAATGTTCTTAATCGATTTTTGCGCGGAAAAAAAATGTCATTTCTGCATAATAAAATTGTTTTTCGAAACTGAACCAAATTCAATTTATTAATAGTAACATAATAATTAATTCTAAAATTATTTATTTCTCATAGACGCAACACTATTTATTATTTTTCCTTTCACCAAAGTTTTCCGAACTTAGTACAATTGGTATTAAGATTATTCTATAAAACTAATACTTTTAAAACATAATTTATAATAACCTCGTAATAAAGGAACGATTTATATCAGTTGGGATGAACGTATTGTAAAGATCTATGGGTTATCTGGTTTGGAACTGCCAACTGGAATATCATTCCCCCCTTTGCTTGGCCCACTTGGAGGAATTGTGCCTATAATGAAAAAAAAAAAATAAAAAAAGGAACATAAGCAAAGAATTTAACATTTTTAAGCGCATGAATAACTCTAATTACACTACCTTTCGGTCTTTTTTCCAATCTCATCATCATTGGTGCTGATGATACCGATACTAATAATACATTTAATGTTATAAGAGCGATGAGGAAGAGAACTTTTGATAATTTCATATTGCAAACGATAGAAATTTCTTATGATTATTTTCTTTTTTAAATAATATGATGGAATTTTCTTACGAAGAAAGAGGTAAGTCGTAGCCCTTTATATAAGAAATAATTTTTTGAAAAATGATTACCACGACAATATGAAATTTAAAAAAAATCAAAAAAGATAAAACATAAACCATATAAAATCATATCTACTCTAAATTAAGATAGTCTATGTCATGTATAAAAATTATATATGATCACCTAACCACACGTTAAACGTCAAAAATTTTTAAAGTTAATAAATTCGGAAATTAATACCTTTTTAAGTAAGTTTGGTATATTATAAAACGAAAATGCATCTCCCTTAATGTTGATTTGATAATTTCATTGGTTAATAAATCGACAGTGTAAATTATAGATCGGCATGTGAAGACAAATGATTTGTCAGTGAAGATGGAAATAATAGTAATTCCGAAATAATAGGTTTGGTATATGAAAAGAAAAGCATCTCTCTTAATGCGATTGGATAATTTCATTGAAATAGTAATTCTGATATATTCATTTGCATTTTTTTCGGTTAATAAAGATCTAGGAAATATTAAATAGTAATCCCGAAATAGTAGTAATCCCGAAGAGCGATGCTTGGCTTATCAATGTTGCATCAAAGGCTTTTACAACACTCCCGCCGTCCTATTCGCCCAGAACGGATTTCAGAAAAAAAGGTGATCGAATAGAACATTATTTATGCCATACTTTAGAAGGTATCTTTTCACCGAAGTCCATTTCACCGTAACCCATTTCGCCGAAGCCACTTCACCAAAGGGAAATGGAATTCGGCGAAATGGACGATTCGGTGAAATGAACCGTAACCACTTTAGAGATTTACCAGAACTCATTAGACCAGAAATGCAAAAATATGGATCGGAAAAAACTGTGCCCTCAAAGTTGGCTAGAATGTCCTACGTCTTTAACATTGCCTATTTCTTTGTTACAGATAATGGCACTCAAACAGATAATATTACCTGTAATCATGAGGAAGAAATAAATAAACGGGTTAAAAGTGAGCTTAATGTAATACAACAGCAATTGCTTAAATTTAATAGAGATACTTTTGGTCGATTCATGCAAGGGAGCATGAAGATCGGATTAAAGCTAATAAGCAACTGCGCAATGAGACTAAAAATATGAAGATGCAAGTGCCGGAGGCGGAAAAAATTCTTGCTTCCATGAAAGCAACATAATTTTCCGAGAATATTCTTGGTATTTTCTCCCAGGAAACAGTAGCCCCGCAAACTTTTTGGTCAATTTATAGGCGGAAATTTTTGCTAGAAACTTTTTAGAATACCCAATTAACAGTAATTATTAGTAAGCTGGTAATTCTTCTTAATCAGCAACTATTTTAGTAATTGGTTACAGAAAACGAAAAATATAGATTGTACTGGAGATATTTGTATATATAAGTATGTTACAAGTTTAAGTTGTTTTTTTTTTTCTTGGCAAATCATTTCCCAATCGAATTTGTAAATAGCTGTTTGTTGAACTTTTATATTAACAGTTTTTAAATTTTAGTTCTTGGAATTCTTGATTACGAATAAAATTATTATAAATAGAATCTCTTTAGAATTTTCACGCACGTAAACAAAGTTTTAACTGCTTATAAGCTGGAAAATTTATTTTGATGTGAAAAAAAAAAAAAAAAAAAAAAATGATTTTTGACTAAATTGAGAAAATAAATTTGTTTTATTTTAAAGTAAAATAACATACCACGCGTACATTTCATTATAACCTTTTATATCTAAAACTCGAGAGTCTGTACAACAAAAAAAAAAAAATTAGGACCAATAATTAAATAGATGTTCTATTAATACAAATATGATTATAATAAATATATTATTAACCAACATCAAAAGAACCTCTCCTATATTGTCAATTCCATTAGGTTTTCATTTTGTTTTTTAAATATTTGCTTTGTCGATTTATTGGTATCTAATTTATTTTAGCTGGCGGTCGCAGTTATACGTTAATTAACTAATAACTATTTATTTTATATTTCTGAACCTCTCAAATCTTGGTAATTTCTATTGGGCATTCAATTAATAGTCTATTAACTTAATTGAGCCAGGCGATTGCAGCTTCTTACTAAATTAACCGACTATATACGTTATCAGTTATACTTCTTTTAGTGGCTAATAAAAAAAAGACAAATAAATAAATGAAATGAAATAATTTTTTGTACAGAATCGAAGTGTGTAGCTACTCAAGATCACGTGAAATAAATTAACGTTACTACTGTATTACTTATAATAAAAAATTAATTCGATTAATTCAAGAGGTAAAAAATATTTTCGTAATATATCATATAAATATTATACTTTTTAACACTAAAAGCATTTTTTAAGAAAAAGAGGATGGAATGAAGGAGTGGAGATGTGAAGGAGTAGAGAAGTAGAAGAGAAGAGCAGAGAGGTAAGAGAAGTAGAGGAGTAGTGAGTTTTTTTATCTGAAGCCATTCCAGTTCCCCGCTGTAATTGTAACAGGTGATCAATATTTGGAAAATAAAAAATAGATTTATAATTAAGAAATAAGATTAAATAAAATTTCCCAATATCGACTGTCAATTTATTGCAAAATTCAAAACTAAACTAGCATTTAAAATAAAAGAAGCTTGCAATGTATTTGTATCAAAGATTCAAGTTATGTAAATAAATAGGAATTTAAAGTTGCAACATTTTTCGAAGTTTTTAACTTCAAAATATACCAACCACACCAAAAATTTGTACTTTCCATGGAAGAATCCGGTCAAACCTAGGCACTACCTACTCTTAAAGAAAAATCAGCAAAGTTTTCAAATTTTACTTTCGAAGTATATCATTCGCCCAAAGGAAACCAAAAACTACAAAAAAACAAAGACGGTTTGCCTAATTCACGGAAATTTTTCTTAAACAAAAATATTTGCTGCTATAGTATCTCTGTACAAGTCCTTTATTATAACGTTCGCTCGTGTCTTCTTTCATCTCTTTAATTTAATTGTTCAATGAAAATATTTCTCTACATTTAAAAAAAAAACTTATCATAAATATCACAGTTTAGATTATTACATAATGTACAACCAGTCAGCAAGCCAATAAAAATCATCTGCTATTAATTTTAACGAATTCGAATTTTAGCTTCCTTTTGTCATTTCCCAATTGGACTATTAGTTCTCAAAATTCGTAATCGCGAGTACAAAATTATATATTTACAATGAGAAAGAAGATGTAATAAATTTAATTTCGAACGTGATAAGTCAAAAATTTTCATTACGGATTTAAAGTTAATACGTTAATACAATCGAAGAAATTAATATACGTTTTTTATTTAACAAATAAAATAATTTTTCTATCATAAACAAAACTTGAGAGATCATTCAGAAGGTACTAAGCAGATAATATATAATAAATGTTACTTTTAATGTAAACTATCTACCTAAGTCGTGAACATGGGAGACCTCATTGGATCCACATTCTCATTATTCGAGAAAAGAAAAAAAATTTTCATAAAAATTTGGCGATGTCTTGAAAAAAATAATAACAGTAATAATCCATGTAGATTTTACAAGTATAGAGCACTATGATCTAAAGTAATTCAATAGATTTTAATAGATGTCTATTAATTGGTCACGGGCGAGAATACCCGAAATTAACTTAACCAACTATCTATGCGAGCAGATCACGTGAATTAATTGTGAGCTAGATACGACTCTCGTATAACTTGTTTAACCTTTCGTAGTACGTGAACCTTCCTGGAACTACTCTATTTCCTTATTTTTTAGGAAACGGTAAAGATTTCAGTTTAATGTACAGTAAACAAATGACAAGAGATAAAAAAAAAAAAAAAAAAAATTTTTTCGCGATAAACTTTTCTTTTTTTAAAAAAAAAAAAAAAAAAAAAAAATTTTTTTATGTAAAAATATACCTCATTAGCTTTCATAAACCCTACATGTTCAAGCCGACACTTCTTATTTTCCAGTAACCCAACCATTTTACAAGTACAACTATGAATCAGTTCAGTAGATATCTATTAATTATTAATCATTAAAACTTTCGCGTTTTAAACGATTATAATTAACCAACAATCTACGTAATTCATGTAGCCACGCGCACAAAATTTTTTTCTAGCCGAATAAATGTGAGCTAGTGACGATTAAATTTCAGTTTAATGTAAACAAATGACAAAAAAAAAAATAATAATAATAATTTAAGTGTATAAATATACCTTTCATATAATTAAAACAAACTCTCCATGTTTAAAACCGGCACTTCTCATATTTATTTAATTTCGTCATTTAAAATATAAATGTTTGTATTAGTACTTAAAAAAGAGTGAAGAGGAGAAGTAGAGAAATATAAAGAACTTAATAGAGGGATATAGGGGAGTAAAGGAATATACCGGAGTAGAAGTAGTGAGAGTTTTTTCGACTGAGAGAAAATTCCAAGTTCAACAACCTACACATAGTTATACAAACATATGAAATCGGTGTAACCATTATATTGGGCGTTTAAACATCTTATATGATCTACCGCGACCGGGCCGAATATAAGCCAATCAGTTGATCAGTCTATGGTTTACAGGGTTTTTTTCAGATTCCACTTAAGTAAAAGAAATAATTTTAATAAAATTTATATTGTTATTTCATGAAAAGTTGAAAATAATAGGTATCCCTTCCCAGGAAATAAATGGATAATCCCCTGAATTTCCGGCTATCTACAATATGGGAAATAAGTATGTACTGTATATTTGTCGCTAGCACAAGTAATAAATCTCTAATCCCTAAACCCGCTGAAAATTACAAAAATAAAAAGAAGGGCATTCGTATCACGTGATCCTTAATATCTTGCGTGGCATGAAGGTAATCATGAGTGACACTAGGGATTGGAATCGATTAATCGAAAATCGACAAAACATATTCTCGAGAATCGATTCTCAGCAATTTTTTACATATAAGTTAACCTGACTTCAAAGTAATTTTTCATACCGGCCAA